AAAGAGGATTTTAGTAGAATGACCTGTTTGACCTCCCCCGGAAATGATTCTGAATCTCAATGAATATCAATCCGACGCTGCCAATCCGACGCTAGCTTCACTTTGGTAAAATTCTTGATATCTAAAAACATCCGGAAACGGACAAAGAACTAAGTGCTTTGGCATGCTCGTATTTTGTAAGCAAAACAACAATTTCTTGAAGCTATGATCGTAAAAAATTCGAAATTTCGTGATTTCAAACTTTCCGAACTGAAACTCAAGAAGCCAAACGGTCAGTTTTTGAAACTTAAGAGAAATTCTTTTTTATAGTTATTATACTATTATTATAGTATAGTAGTAATAAATTATACGTTCGGTGTGTATATAATGAAGTAGAGAGCATAAGAGAAAAATATCAAATGCCCTTGGCAGGATTTGAACCCACTATGCCCTTTCTTTGCGTACATATTTACGGTGTTCAACTTATCTATAGAGAAAAAATATCGCTCTGGGATCCTCACGAATACCCTACATTTCATATTCTGGCTGCGTTACCAGCGTGGTTGATCCTTGTGGTGTAGTGGTTAACACATCGGACTAGAATACCGAAGACGTGGGTTCAAATCCTGCCAAGGGCATTTGATATTTTTCTCTTATGCTCTCTACTATTATTATAGTATTATTATAGTTATCTCGGTCTCGCAAAGATTTATATAGCTCCAAAAAGATTCCGTAGAGTCTTTACTTGGAGAAAATGAAATTTTTCGTTAAACGTGCTAAAATGCACGCATGCGTATACGTGACTATGCCTCAAATAGAACACAATTATATTCCATAATATGCTTAAAATGTCGGCAGTTTCATTGAAGCAGTAAAAGGAATTAATATCGGGAATAAAAGAACCGAAGTAATGTTGTCTCTAACTTAATGAAACGCATCTGTAGGAAAATAATCACGTCTGTTCAAGTCATAATAAAGAGTTAATTGCTAGCCTTTTTGGTGCGTAAAATGTATTTTTGAAAACCCACTAGTCTCAGTACGTGTCTTGGATCAAAGAATATAAACATAAGTAAAATGCATACAGGATTCAGGAGAGCGCTCGCCTCTCGTTAATGCAACCATGCGTGTTAGTTCGATTTATACCGGACTCTATGTTTTATATAAATAGAGTTTAAAGTAGTTCTATCCTCTGCTGCAGGGTTTTTTTTCCCGGGTTTTTTGGTCATCCGGTTTTCCTCCTTGCACAAAAATCATGCTATTAAGTGCTACCCTCGTAAAGCAAGGACTATTTATTTCATTTTAACGCACTGATACAAGTCTCTTGTTGAAACGATTAAATCCTTTAATTCAAAAGTCGTAAGTCAAAGGCTTACATTTCTAAGTGTAGTAGTATATTTCTAGGACGATAAATGAATGAATTTTCTCAAGAATGCGGTTTCTAGATAAATTACTGATCTAAAAATGTTACCTAGCATCGTCAATAACTGATCATTTCTAGCTGCTTTTCCTAAAGCGCAAATAAAAAAAATGGGATGACTCGAAGAAAGGTGTGGAAATGCCACGTTCTAAACAAAAAAATAAATACACAATAGAAATGCACTGTTTTTGCCAGTTTAAATCTGCGCTAAGAAGCTACGAATAATATTTTCTTGCGTCAAAGTTAAAAGAATATTCTTCAAGTTGGATTACGACCAGCAGCATTATTTTGTTAGAGGTAAATATATATTCGTTTTTTTCTGAATGCTTTCTTGATGTTAAATGCGTATTTTTGGAGATTTTGAAGGTTTCTAAAAATGTAGAAAAAAAGAACTATATGTCTCTATTGGTCTTAATGGCTATTATTTTGCTCGCTTGTTTGAGATATCGTCTGATTACGAATTGAATAGGTATACACAGTCTAACAGCCGACTGTAGTGCACTTAGCTCATAAATTAGTGTTGCAGTTATTTTGGTGGATTTAAACGACGTTTGTAGTCGAAATGGTTAAATAATGCTGCCCTTATCAGCTGCGCCTTTGAATTCCATTCTTTAATTCCAAAATTTACTTTTTTTTCTTTCTTTTTTTTTTTTTTTTTTTTTTTTTTTTTTTTTTTTTTTTTTAAGTCGATATTTATAGGCACATCTAGTTTAGCAAGGCTAGTTTAAATAGAGTCCTGTTAGTCTTAAAATATTTAAATCTAGCACAAAAGGTGGTTTTCCTAACATTCTGAGAGGTCTGCCTACAATCAACTATTATTAGAAACCATAAAATACAAACATTACTTTATAAAGTTTTATTTGTCCTTGAAATATTTTGGCGATATTTCGACAAGCCAAGAAAAAAACTATTGGCAATCAACCTTAATCTTAAACTTGTCTGAATTGGGTCGAAGGAAGTTTATTGTTCGTCGGCTCAAGTGCTATCAAGTGCTAATGAATTTTTGGCCCTCCATGCCATTTTGTTGTGACGAATTCCTTATCTAGATTGAAGATGCTTTTTCTCAATATCTCCGAGTAAAGACGTAATTTCATTTAGATGTTGCGCCAGGTCTAATGCATTTCTTTTTTCTTTCTTCCTTTTTTTCTTTTCTTTTTCTTAATGCGTTCTCCATCAAAAGTTAAACCGAGAACAAGACCGCCAATAAACATACTTTAGCGATCTGAAAGATTCTTCGAGCAAAAACATTAATTTCCGTGGTCTTTATTACATTATTAAGGACTTTATACCTAACTGTAAAGAAAGCTATTCACAAAGCACTTTCTAGGAATGCTTAGATGACGTATTTATCGATAGTTGTAAGAAAGGGCAAGTGTTGTGCGTTCCTCAGTAGCGCCGCCACTAACCCATGCGCCTAGGGTTCGATTCTTATGCTTGGTGTCGTATGTGAGTAGACTTGCTATCTCCTGAACTTCGAGGGTTTCTCTCCGAGTTCTCTGGTATTTCCATCCTCCTTTACAAATCAACTACAGCTAAATTTGATATATTGGCTGCCTTCAGGTAAAACCATGCCTCAGTTACGCTTTACGCCGTCCACCCTGGTAAATCCCCGGCTCTAGATTTTAGAATAGTTGGAATTTCGAAGTAGTATAAGATATACAATGTAGTATACCAGTGCATGGAGCCAACTTCTTTTGCCTTCTTGTTCTGTTCTCCCTCCCGATTCCAACTCCAAATTCCTTCTAGACGTGGCTTACCGTTAAGTTTGTACTGTGGTATTCCACACGGACTGGTGTTTGGCCCCCTTTTAAATTCGGGTACTATAATCTTTAGCGATTTTTATTTCTTATTTTTCCTTTTCTTTGTCATTTTAGTTAAATTACTAGAAGAACTGCAACCATTGACTGACCGACTGACTAGCTGAGCAAGAAGATTTCCGCTACTTAAGGTAAGAATTACGAATATATATATTGCACTCTTAGTTAGCAATTGACTTTATTTATGATGATGACAGCTTTGCTCATTTCAGAAATTGCTCAGTAAATCGAGCCCTGCACAACGAGTGAATCGTTCTCGATTAATTTCAGAATCAAAGTTTTAATCAATTATTTCCATGCTCTACGTAAACGTGGTCTGTATTGTTGGTCGAAATTGTGCATTTTTTTACTTTAACGACTTTAGTATTCAGTAAATATTTTGACGCTGATATGGCGCTAGCTAACCTAGCGTGAATGTAATCAAGGAACACATCACATCAGTACGTATTTGACTATTCGAAAACGATCTTTTGCACTGCTTCGTTTTGCGTTACTTTGACTATTATACACTGGTTTCAAGGCCAAGTGACACTCGTGAGCTAATTTCAATATTTTACTACCGATTACATATGACAAGATAGGCAATCTTATCTCATAGTGTTGTGTAGATAATATTATCAAATATTAGGTAATGATGCTAAAGTTTATCAATGGTACCACTGAGGACCAGCAATATTCTAATCATAGGTTAATACATCAAAGTTTACTGTGCTACTCGCCGTACCGTGAACACTTCCACAAGTTTTTGATTTCTTTTTGACATCTTTTTGACATTTTTTATATGTCCACTTTAACGCTAAACAATAGAGCTGTTGAGTGTGTCGTAATAACGTAATATTTATTCATTCATTCATTCATTCATTCATTCATTCATTCATTCATTCATTCATTCATCCATCCATCCATCCATCCATCAATCCATTCATTCATTCATTCATTTATTCATTTATTCATTTATTCATTTATTCATTTATTCATTTATTCATTTATTCATTTATTCATTTATTCATTTATTCATT